CTTTTTACACCCATTTGCCTCAAAGTTTCAAGCGCCTGCTTCGATCAATTGTGATGCGACGCGGTGGAATCAGGCTCTCGTCAATTTTTGGGCATTCAGAGTTATTGGTATCATCTTAAAGCTCCTTCACCTGTCTTTATTTGGATGAAAAAAGAATCCATTTATCTTGAATGTAAGTCGAGATATCTGCGAATGAAGGAAGTGGGGGTCACCTGGTTTCAGAAGTAAAATTAGTGAGATAATGGCCGCCGAAGATTAGTCATTTCCTCAGCTTAAGAGTCCGTGGTAACTGAAAATTTATATTTTTTGAGCCTTTAGTCAACTTTTTTTCAGTAAAATTCACACAGAAATGTGTTCTTTAATGGGCATGAAAGATGTTCAGCAAAAACAAAGAATTGATAAAGATCCTCAAACCTGCCGAAAAATGCCAGTTTCTTCACTTTGATCATTTTGACGAGAGCCTGATTCCACCATGCTGCCTCACAATTATGTTTTGAAGTCATTTCCAAATTGGTTCTAAAAACATAATTTGCAATTTTGAGTAATGCTTACCTTCTCCTTTACGTTTCATCTGAGTGGCTTCATTTTGTATACTATGTGCATCCTTAGGTAACCTTTACTGAAATAGAGCCCTTTTTGCAGATAATAAGGGAGAAATACAATCAGTGTTTTTGTTGGGAATTCAAAGAGTTCGAAATTAATTCTGAGAAGGCCCACTATTTCGGAACTTCACGGTGACCGTAAAGATCGTTCCAGTAGGGAACGGGATAGGGGTGCCCACATCCCTCGTGACTCAATGGAGCAGAGGAATACGGTATAGGACAAACATTAACATTATTTAAACGCAATCTCTCATCATCAATCATCAACACCATTATTTCTATAATCATCACCGCTCTCAGATCAACGACTTACATCTATAATCCTGAAATCTCTATCTGTAACAGTTACTGATCATACTAAGTATGCACGTAATACACTATTGGACACTATCAACTAGCATACGCACTTTTTCTACTAAACAGATGGCGTTAATCTATTATCTATTTGTGGTGGCCGAATTTTGCTATTCAAAAGGCTTTTTAATGGCTGCAACGATCGACATGCGGTTTTCGCCAAAAGATTCTTTAAAATATTCCCCAGAGCATGGCGCCCTTGTTTTTTTTTCCGTTTTGAGACAGTTTTGCTGTAAAAAACTAAATTTGTTTATTTCGCCGATCGCTTTTGTGGGCCGCCACTTCTGTCTTTGTAATTTTAGGAAATCAGGAAGTGATATTTAGCGAAGCCCATTTTGTTTTGATCTAATTTGTTACATCTCTCTGTATTCCAGTAGAGTGTAAATATAGTAGGTCAATGACTTTCAGTTGATGTTAATGCATCCATCACTCCTTTCATCGAAAGGGGGCCCAGCTTGTCTCTTATAAATGCGCAAGGGAAGAAAAAAAATTCCGAGAAAGCAAATCCTACCATATCCCGGGAGTATACGTTAATACACACAGCAGCTGGGGTGGTGGATGGTTGGCGGGTGCTCTGGTGTGGTTTGCTCTCCTTCCTGTGTTACATCACATTTTTTTCTGGAACATCCTTTCATATTTTGTTTTCAGACTTCCAACTCCCACAGACGCGAAAAAAAAGCGAAACCAAACATGGCGGGGATGTTAGAGAAATTGGTAGGTGATACAGACTTTACTTCTTCGGTTAAGTAGGAATTTTACTTCATTTGCAGCACGATTAGATCATAATGTAAGTGCCGATTTAGATTCTATTTTAATACAAGAGAGTAACAAACAAAAAAAAGGAGAGGGGGATGAGGACGGTACATCTGTGATAGGAAAGAAGGAGTAAGCGCACAAACACACAAACACTCACACACACACATACACACACACACACACTCACACACACACACACACACACACACACACACACACGTACGCACGCACGCATGCACGCACGCACAGAGAGAGAA